ATGTAAAAATTATTCATATATAAAGAATGTTCACGAACCACGTGACAATATATATAAACAGTTACTCATAACATGCATTAGAATTGAGGTGGAATGTTGAGATAACATATACAATATTCCTAACAACAAAATAGATTTTTAATGGTGTTTAATATTATTTTTAGTGGTAATAAAAATGGTTACAAAATATTTTATCAGTATTTTCATATTAATCATTATATGAAATGTTTGATAAAACATTTATCAACAGTTATTCTGTATGTAAAATATTTTATCAATATTTTTACATTAATCATTATATGCAAAATATTAATATTTCATCGATTAATCATGTCACAATACTTATAAAAAAATAATTAAATGAATATGTACTACTAGGATAAACTCTGATTGAAAAAAAAAATTAGGATAAACACTTAATACCGTAAATAAATTACAAATTGATTTTAGTGTAATTTTTAAACTTTTTTCTTTATGAAATACCTCTTAACTCAATATAGCTAGTCTTAGATATTATAGTTATATTCCACATTGTATCATAATTTTTAAACCTTATTTAATGGTATTTTGGTGCTTGGAGAGTTGTCTTAAATATAGAAGTTCCGGTGTTGGAGGTGACTGAATCTGTTCTTGACGATGAGGAAGTTCAAAAATTAATTGAGGGCTAATTTTCCTCTTTTTGAGTTTTAGTATGAAGAGGAAAATCCATGGTGGAATCTTTAGATACTCTTTCCTATTGGGATACACGGCAGGCCCAATATATCTTTCTTCATTAATTCAAGAATGTGAGCAAAAGTTAGTTAAAAATAATATGTTAAAAGATAATTAATTAAAATTAATAATTATTTTATTTTAATTTTTTTTGTTTAATTAAAATTAGTAACCGATTATTTTTTTATTGAGTGAAAGTAATTTAAAAAAATAAAAGTCTTACGGAAATGAAAATAAAAACAACTTTTTTCAGGACCTAAAACGAGAGTTTGTTCAACTTTATGCAGGCCCTGGAATACATTCTCCTCTATGCAAGGAATGTAGTAAAGCACAATGCAGACGAGATTGAGTAACTGATTTTTTTTTTTTATATGGCTACATACTGGAATATGAATTTGATTGAACAGTGTATATTTATTAACAGTGAACACTCTAGTATATTAAACATAAATAATGAAAATAATTTTAAATTAAAGAACATTAAATTGCAGTTAGCCGTCAATTTGAATTAATGAAATAAAGTATTAAATAATTTTTAAATTTTTTTAAAAATTTGCAGTTTTGATCTATGTATTAAAAACTTTAAATTTAACAGTCGGATCGTTGAAACTTGATATAGGGCATGAGTTATTGAACGAAGTAAGTCTAGATAAACTTACTTCTGAAGTAAACGAATCCTTCCTCGTTAATTATACATATAATAACATTTTTTGTATGTTACTTATAACATTTCTTGTAGTGGATGCAAGTAAATTTTGACCTATTTAACAAACAACTAATACCGTGAAAATGATATACAATATGCTTTTGTTGAGGATTGAGACATAGTGGGTTACTTCATTTGTTTACCATGAGATATGAGACAACTACTACATTTTAATTTTTTAGCAACATTTTTTTACCTTACATTTATTAAAATGTTATTATATATTGAATAAATAGGTTATTTTACAATATTCTTTTGAAAAATGTTACTATAAATAAAGTAACATTTTTTAATTCAACATTGTTCTTTTTAACTATTTTCAAAATCAAAGTCTCATATCGAGTAAAAAAAATATCATATAAATTATTTTACGACATTTTTTTGAAAAATGTTACTACAGATATGTAATATTTTTTTATCTCAACATTATTCTTTCTAATTACTTATAAAATCAAAGTCCCACATCAAATAAAAAAAGTATATTTTTTTTCATTTTTAATTGTTACTCATAATTAAAGTCTCATATCGAATAAATGAATAACACGTAAATAGTATATATAATCAAATAGTTATATTTAAAATAAATGAACTTTGATATTTGATATATAACTAGTGGTGATTAATTAAGAATGTTTTTAACCTTCTCTTAAAGAACTTCTAGGAGTTTAGGAGGCATAAAAATATAATAATTGATAGTAATATCTAAATTAAAATTAATTATCATTTTATAAAGTTAATAAAAACTTAACAACATCATTAAAATGTTACAAAAATATTACTTTGATAACATTTAAAAAATGTCATCTAATTATATAAAAATATTATTAACAATTTAAACAACATAAATTATATACAATATTTAATAATATGTTATAAAATTAAATTAAAAATACTTATAATATTTTTCAAGTATTGCTAAAAGTTCTTCGTGTTATAATAGCTAAATCCATAAACACCAAATTTAGTATTCTCTGAGTGTGAATTGACCCAATTATATAGATCACAATCTCAATCCAATCCTCGATGCTATTGAGCCTTCAATTGTTGGTCTAATTTGAACACTTAATTGTCTTATTTTAATTTTTTTTCTTCACCTAATTTTCCTTATCCGTTTTATCTCTCATTAAAGACCCATCAATAATTGTTCAATAAAAACTATTGAATGAACCAACCATTATAAAATCGTAATCAATTCAAATAGTAAATAATAACAAAATTAATGTGACATGTTTATTACATATGCATTTAATTGAGATTTTTTTTGCAAGAACATAAAATGGAGAATTTTGTCCATAGCATATTGGAGTGGTAGTAATTGGGGGTGTTTAAAAAACGGTTTGGTTTAAATTTGGTGTAAAAAATGGTTTGGTTTAAATTTATTGTACTGGACGTAACTCCCAGCTATGCATAAGATTAATTTATCTTAGTGTCAATCACTTAATGGGCAATAATATGAAACATTCATTAATTCTAAAATAGATTTTTTTTTTCAATTTCATCAGGAATGAGTAATCTAAATCTTCTGCCATAAACCTTGCTTTTATAGTTAAATTGTTAAAATTAAAAATGACTTAATCTCATTTGTAATTATAACTATTTGTTTTTAATATCCATAATTTCTTAATTATTAAAATTAAATCACTTACAACAAATATGTGATGTGACATTAATTTTTATATATATTACTGTACTTTTTTTTTAAAAAACATGTATTTTTGTTGGAGATAATTTTATTCAAGATTTGAAATTTTTTTTAATATATATCTTATGTCCAATACCGTTAAACTTATATGTATATAATTAAATTGTAGATAATCCTTTTAATAAATTTATAATAATTTTGATATTATTTTAGAATTTGAGTTTCGTCTTAATTTAACTTTATTTAATTGACTTGTAAAGTCTCTTTACTTATATATATTTTCTTTTGTTAGTCTTATTTTTAATCAATCAATATAAAATTTGAGTTTTTTTCTCTCAATATTTTCCATCTAATTTGTTCCCGATATATGGCACGTGAAGTTTTCGTCACGAGAAATCTTCACTACTCTTTAATATTTATTTAGCTAGTGTACTATAAGTCAATAACTTGATGGGAACTTTCCTAGAGGACATTTCGTGTACAATTATATAGTGGCAGTAGTCATCAGTTATGGGTCTTATTATGTGACCTATTTTGAGTACATGCATGCACTCATGATTCACGAAATGTGTCTCCCTGTCGTGTATCCCATGTTGATGTTGGTCATTATATAACACGCCTTCCCGTATGCCAATTTTGTCACGTCTTTGTTGGGGCCTTGTGGAGTTCAAACTGAAATCAGGTTTGCCATATTGAATTTGTAACTACATCGACATAAGAATAAAAATAGTGTTGGGATGGATAATTCTCAACATGTCATTAATTCTTTATCTGATAAGCATAAATGTTATTTCTTTTTTTTATCATTTTTATTCATAAAAAGATAACTAAAATATTAACCAACTAAAATCACATCCACTTTGCCAACCTGATCTAACTTGACATGCATGTTCGATCTTCTGCAAAACCTTTTAAGTGAAAAGGAAAATGTTTCATATAGACACCCACTATAACTAAACTAAGACAAAATCATGTGTCTCTAACATTCTTTAAAAATTATTTTTTTTACTTTTTAATAAATTAGAAAATAAAATATTTGCTTGACTAAAAAATTTATTAGTCATGTGAATAGCCGAATAGGTGTTCTCTGAGGGTATAACTAAACAATTGGGTGTAAAAAAATAAAACCCAACTAAAATTAGTTTGAAATAATTGTTTTAGGTTACTTAACATTCGGTAAGAATTGATTTTCGTTCCTACATTTTAAAATGGTAGTTTTAATATCACATCTCAAAGTACAGAGGCCAAAACAATATATTTAAAAAACAATGAATTAGCGACCAAGTTTAAGTGACTGAAAATTGTTTTCTCCGACAAATTTTAAAAAACCATATATAAATTATTCCGTCGCTGATTTTAATATTTCCAACATACATAAAGACTAAAATTAATTTGGATGAAAATTCAACGAACGACTTAAAAAAACATTTTACTCATAGATTAAATTGGAAATGAAAAGGACTAAGCAGTTGCATTCCATACATACCCTCGACATCTTTCCGTTTTTGTAATATAGATTAATTAGTAGTAAAAATTCATTCGAAAATAAAGAAACGTTAGTTATGAAACATAAATTTTTCCCAATCTTGTCTTTTGATTTGTCTAACACAGGATGAATAAGTAAACTTAATTTTGACATATAAAAATGGATGCATATAATTTTATTCGATTCCCTACAATTTAGGAAACAACTTACCTTTTCTACACGGCGAATTTACCAAGCGTATCGTCTTTTATGTAGTTACATGTACAGTTTCTATGTAGTCACACAAATTCAATCTTGACTTGCATTCCGCCCTCATTTTTGTTGCCTTCTAAATATGCATACATCGCCATCACCTTTTTTCCAAAATATATGTATACAAAACACACATCACTTTTTTGCCATATATATAGCTTTTTAGCTGTAGTGCTAGCTGGTATGTAGCTATTATTCAATCAATGGAGACACATCAAGTGATGCTCCCTACTTCATCAACTGCTTTTTCATCTGATTTTAATGTTGCTTATCATTCTAATGTTCATGAGGTTTCAAGAACTGATCAGGAGATTAAGCAGCAAAGATATGCATTTCAAACAAGGAGTCCGGTTGATGTTCTGGACGATGGGTACCAGTGGAAGAAATATGGGAAAAAGATAGTGAAAAACAATAAATTCCCAAGGTTAGTGCCACACTGCCACTTTTATATTTTAAAATTTAACAGTTCCATTTGAAGGTTTGTAGTATATATATATATATATACTCTAGTCATACAATCACCTCTCTTGAAAGATTCACCTATATATATATCCTTTAAAATTAAAATTATGAACAAGAACTCATAAAAGAAAGAATTGGGAAAAACCCAAGTCCCACATCGACTAGAGATTAGGCAATTGAATAGTATATAAGTGGAATTTCGTAAGAAAGTTCTGACAAAAATATAAATCCGTCAGAAATTTTGGACGGAATCTTCTGTCAAAAATTTTTCGTCTGAAATTTTCGATGGGATTTTTCGTCAGAAATTTTCGATGGAATTTTTCGTCAGAAATTTTTTGTCGAAAATTTCTGACAGATTTATATTTTTGTCAGAAATTTCTGACGAAAATTTTTTGAAGGAAAATTTCATCAAAAATTTCTGACAGAAATATAAATCCGTCATAAATTTTCAACGGAAATATCTGTTAGAAATTTTCTGTTAGAAAATTTATATTTTTTGACGGATTCATATCCGTCAAAAATTTTCATTTTTCTTGTGGTGTATTATATGTCATTATATCCTATACATATACTTTTTAACAATATTCTAATATATATTATATCTATAGTGTAGATAAAAATGGGTTTAAGTGACAAATATTATATCATTATAAGATGTATGTCACTACATAGCAATTTTTTTCTTTCTTATAATGTTTACAATATATTTTAATGTAAACTAGTCTTTTAAGAAGACTAACATTCTTTTTTGTATCTTTGGATGTTACCTCTGGTTAATTTTGTATTCTTGTTATCAACTTTTCAATATTAAAAAAAATGAAATAATTTGTTTATCTAGTCTTAAACTAACTGTGAAATTATTAAAACATGAGTTTGACTTTTGTACACAGCGAGCGTAAAAAGTTTTTTTTGTTAAATAACTAATTATAAATGATGGTAGCTTTGGTTTTTAAGATAATGTGTAAAAAATTCAACGAATTTATATCATAAATTATGATTAAATGATCATATAAAAATTCGTTAGACTATCGATACATGTATTACTTTCTCTTACAATATTCATTTATTATTTAAGATGTTTAAATTAACTATTGTGAGTGTAATTGAGAGTATGAATTTGGAGTGAAAAATTGATCAATTTACTCCATTTTGGCTCGACTTACCATCAATCCGCTAAAATGGGACATGTAGGTTGATTCGTCTAGTGATGGTGGGTTAAAAATATGGTTTGCCCTGCTTAAGGTTGACAAATGGGCTAGCTAATGAGTTGGCCACTAGTGCAAAAATGACCTACTGTAGCATACTATTACATTGGTAATGTTGTAACCAATGTAATATCTTATGTAGTGACATATTTGAAATTCAGACCAATCTTTTTAAAATTTGTTTTCTCATAACCAATGTTGTCACATATATACAACATTGCATAAGCTTTTAATTGGTGCTGTATGTGATACACAATATCGGATACGAGATAATTGATTTAATATGTTGTGTTATAATATTACAACTTCTTTTTCTTAGAAATTCAAGAATAAAATTTGGGTGCTTAGTAAGTGGAGAAGATTAGTAGGAGTATAGATAACCCTTTCCAAGTAGGAGTTAATGTTGTTTTGAAATTCAAGAATAAAATTTGGGTGCTTAATAATCCTGAATTTAAGAAGATGATCTTAGAAAAAGGACATACCAATACTCTTAGTGTTTGTGGAAGAACGTATGTAAAGGATTTTGATGATGCCAAAGAAGTTAAAGAAAACAAGAGGTCAATTTAAAACAAGGTGATCAAGAAACAAAAATCTCAAAATATTTTAGATAAGTCTTGTCAACCTAGCTTAATATGTAAAAAGAAATCTTTAGAAATATTGCATAAAGTTCTTGGTCATTTAAAATAAAGAATTTCAAAGAAAACCCAAATATAATTTTTTAAATAAGTTTTTGAAAATAGAAGTTTCTCTATGTCTTAAGTTTTAACAGTCTGGTAATCGATTACCAGTACATGTAATCGATTACCAAAGGATGAAAACTCATATGTTCAAAATTCAATTATAAAAACGTGCTCTGGTAATCGATTACCCATTTCTTGTAATCGATTACCAGAAGTTAAAAATTTCAAAATTTGAATTTAAATTTTACAACGTTCCAAGCATTTTGAAATTAAACTGTTGTAATCGATTACCAAGTCTTGTAATCGATTACTAGAGCCTATTTTATGGAAAATTTTAGAAAGACACAACTCTTCATGAAAAGTCATGACCTATGAAACAATCATCTATAAATACCAATAATTTTTCAGAAAAAGGTTACGAACTCAATTGTTAAAAATTATCTTTACATTCACTTGGCCAAAATCATTTGCAAATATTATCTAAAGAGTTCTACTAGATCAAGAAAGTGTAAAATCCACTCTTAAAAGAGAGTTGTTATACTTCATTCATTTCATCTATTGATCTGTAAAGGAGAAAGTGTTGTTCTCCTTGGTGGTCTGTGATTCTCAACACAAGGAAAGGGAATTCCTAAGTGTTGGAGAATTTGAGTCTTGTAAAGGTTACAAGCATAGTGAAAAATCTCAAGTGGGAGACTTGAGGACTGGATGTAGGCAAGGTTGGCCGAACCAGTATAAAATCAAGTTTGCAATTCTCTTTCCCTATACTTTTAATTTTGTTGTGAAGTTTTTGCATCATTAC